TAGACCCAGAGCTAATTTAGAGTCTACTTGCAGACACAGCTTTCTGGACTAGCTAATCTGAATTACATACTTCAAAGTTTCCTTCATTTCCTAACAGCCCTATGACAAAAAAAAAGAGAAGCAAATAAAAGCAATCTGCTTGCTGGCTAAGAAATTTTTCTGAGTTATTATTGACTTAAAGGTCTCTTATTTTTTTTTGTCATAGGAATATTAGGAAATTAGGCAGAGGACTATTTACCTCTCCCCTCTGAAGCGTATTGTGAAAGCCCCTTATTTTGCCAGGAAGTAATTCAATAACTCTTCAACTGTTATTCCCCCCCACCCAGGATACTTCTTGGGTACCTCTGGATGTTGGGTGGGGTTAGTAGGGAAGGGGCTCAGGTGAAGAATTAGTTATATGATTTTAAAATATAAATAAATAAATAATCTAGATTTCCAGGACTGGAACAAGGACTCTACTGAACTTTTCTCTGCTTGAGGTAACAACTTCCCTGGCATCCAGACACACTGCACAGTTTCCTCAACAGGAAACAAATGGTCAAAGAATCAAAGAGGACTAGTTAAGGACTTCCAAGAGAATAGAGAAGGGGAGGAAAAAACAAACAAAAACAAAACCCAAAACAACACAAACACATACCACAAGCATTCTTAGGACACACTGTTTCCCTGCTTTGAATAACAACTCCTTCGCAACAACAGTTTCTTCTGTACCTGTATTCTTAAGGGTTACCTTCTCTCAGAGAAGAGATCTGGCAATCTCAAACTGCCTTATTTTAAACAAGCTACTTTCACTTCCATGGCACAAAATCTCTTACTGAAAACTCAAATGAATAAGGTAGAGAAATCATCCATTTGTAACTGCCTCACAACCAAATACATCTATTTCACCTCTGCAAGATCAAGGATCTTTTATGTTCTTCTTTTAGCATTACAAACAGCTCTTGTGGGAAGATACCCATTACTGAGGGTAACGGAGGTACTTCGTGACCGCTAGCATTGAATGACTTGGGTACATGCAGTTTGTGTTTCACTAGGGGTTCCCAGGCAGTCCATGAAAAAATGTTCCTACAGAATTGCTAGCAAAAAGCAAGTTGCATAATATCCAGTAGAAGTAATTGTACTACACTGCATTGCTAGTATTTAGGCAAATATTCCTACCTAAGAAAAATTGTTCATCATCACCCAGCAGTTGTCTCCACATTAGAAGCCTCACATCTTCCTTCAAAATTCTTTAAAGCCGGATTACTTCTAAATTTTGTTAGTCTTTTTCTGAAATACAACTTGGGAGGAGAGTCTTTATCACTACAGAGTATCTAGAATCATGAACAGTGCAGATGAGATGTCACCACCAAGTAGGGCATAATAATTACCTCCTGTGTCTCACAGCTGATGCTTTTGTGACTATTACCCAGAACAATTTTTTGTTATCATCAGATTTTAACTCTTAATCTGCCTCTCTGCTTCCTTCTCTGCTTCTCATGTCCAACACTCATAATCTACTTTAAGTACATTCTGTTCTAGCACTTTGATTATTAGTAGAAACATTAATTAAGATAGTAAACCTAATCACTGCACAGCAATTTAACTAAGAATGTATTTCTCAAGTTTCCAATTAAGAACAACACCTAGGGAAAATTATTCCTGAAGTATGCAGAGCTATTAAGTTTTTTTCAGCTTAAGAATCTTAAAAATAGCTTAGATTAGACAAAAGCTTAGCAAAGAACAAGTTAAACTTAGACATTATTCAAACCTACTCAAGTAAGTAGTGAAATAGTGAAGTAAATTCAACCAGGCTAGAATTTAGTATCAATCCTAATTGAATAGGAAAGAGGGAAGGGAAAAAAGCTAAAACTGCCTCCCACAGGCCAAGGCTAGCAAATTACCATTGACTGTCCATAAGCAAGTTATGTTTACCTTGAACAGTGAGATAACATCATAGCTGTAACTGATACGTTTCTTTACTATTTACATAATGGAGAAAGCTTGGTATTAACTGCAAGGTGTCTTGTCTACTAATACAAAAATCAAAGAAACATAATGGTCAGATAGTTAAGGGCTCTGCTTGGTGTTCCTTTAGATGTACCCCTGTGTACATGAAAGCCTTATCTGCAGATATCCCAAGACTTTCTTCAGCATTTAAGAAGAAACACAAGTTCAGGAATTTAACAGGCTGGGCTAGAGTAACCTATGGCGACTTCAAATTACTTTTTTTTTTTTTCCTCTCCTTATTCATATAATTATTGGGTTAACATTACTGTCAATTTCCTCTCATCTGAACCATTTTATTCATATTGTATCAGTATTTAAGATTTTAAAATATATTATACACAAGCATATATACACTTCCTTTACTTCAGCGTGAGATTCCTTAAGTACCTCTTGATTTAAAGGCCTTACTTCAGGGTGAAAAGGGCATTCTATCAATCTCCTTTCTGTTTCCTCATACTTATCTATAAACAAGACTGCCAGTATTGTTTTTCCAAAGCTCTCCAGAGCTCTCCTCTGTACTTACCTATATCTTAAGCTAATGTATCCAAAGGGCATTAAGTTACCTTTATGTATGACTTAAACTACATAGCTGCAGTTTGGCAGTGTAAGTTGCCTGCTCTTAGTTCTTTCCTAATGGACTTCAAGGGCAAAAAGGGTAAAAGACTGGATCCCATTAGACTCCAGCTTAACTCATAAAGACCAAAAAAAAAAAAAAAACCCACAAAGCAAAATGCACAATATATGTGGCTTTTATAAGGTGAAACAGGAATGTAAATTTAGTTTAGTTCAAAGTATGCTACAAGAAGGACAGAGAAATATTAAATGGTATCAGATTTTAGACAAAGGTGATGAGTTAAGCAGATCAAAAGTAAGATACATATTACAAAACTCAACTTAATTTCTTTTGTTCCTTGCTCTAGCTCTTCTCACAGACTCACAGAATGGTTGAGGTTGGAAGGGACCTCTAGAGATCATCTAGTCCAACCCCTCTGCTCAAGCAGGGACACCTAGAGCACGTGGCACAGGGTGGCATCCAGGCGGGTTTGAAGATTTCCAGAGGAGAATCCACAGTCTCTCTGGGCAGCCTGTTCCAGGACTCTGTCACACACACAGTAAAGAAGTTTTTCCTTACGTGGAGATGGAATTTCCTGTGTTTCAATTTGCACCCATTACCCCTTGCCCTGTCACTGGCCAGCACGGAGAAGAGTTTGGCCCCATCCTCCCTACATTCACCCCTCAGATACTTATACATAATGATCTGATCTCCTCTCAACCTTCTCTAGGCTAAACAGGCCTTGCTCCCTTTGTCTTTCCTCACAGGCTCCAGTCCCTTAACCATCTTTGTTGCTTTCTGCTGGACACTCTCTAGAAGCTCCACGTCCCCCTTGCCCTGAGGAGCCCAGACCTGTACCCAGTACTCCAGGTGTGACCTCACCAGAACTGAGGAGAAGGGCAGGATCCCCTCCCTTGCCCTGCTGGCAACACTCCTGATGCATTCCAGGACCCCATTGGCCTTCTTGGCCACAAGGGCACACTGCTGCCTCATGGTTAACTTCTTGTCAACCAGGACTCCCAAATCCCTCTCCACAGAGCTGCTTTCCAGTAGGTCAACCCCTCAAGGTTGTCAACCAAACTTCATGAGCAGATCAACTTCTCATGTAGATGCAGTAAAATTCTGGGCTTTTAGCTGCTCAGGCAGAACTCACTCCTGCTATGCAGCACATTAATAACAGGGTCAAGGACTTCAGATTACAGGATACAGTCTAGGACTGTCCTATGTGTTTCCAGCAAGAACAGCTTTAAGTGCTTTGCAAAGCACTTTGCAAAGACCAGTTTGTTTGATACTATACATAAAAGTTATCCAGGCAAACGTCTTAGCATTTGCTCACTTTGGAGCTAGAACTGCTAACATCAGTGCCTAAATGTAAAACCATCAAGGAATATACTTATATGGGTGAAAAAGCATTATCAAAGCATTGCTTTGAAAGGTTTTATACTTCTAGAATAAATGAAAAACATTTAAGAAAGTTTTCTCCCTCCTTCCACAATTGAATTTTTTTTATTATTATTGATCCAGCCTTGAATAGTGTTGCTTATTTGGTAACAATATCAGGCAAAAAACAAAAGCAAATGCCATTCTGCATTCCAATATGAATCATTCGGTAAAGTTGTGCAATATATATATATTTCATCCAGTTTCTGACATCATAGGTCATCATGCCATTCAGAATTTTTAACAATACAATAAAATACTTCAAAAGGTACTTTTTTATGAATATAATTCAGGAGACCAGACAATTTAATGCCTCAAATTTATACCACTCATCCATAATCATTTTACATTTCACACTTCATGCTCTCAAATATCACTCTAGAAGACTAATAATATTTGTGACAAAAAAAATTAAAGATACTAGCCAGGTTTATACAGTTAAAGAAGCCTATAATAAGATGTACAATTTAGTAGGTAATAAATTATGACACTTGCTGACTAGAACAATATTCCATCTAGACTAATATTTGATCCACTCAAATACAAAACGTATTTGAAGGTTATATACTACTTGTTTTAAACACTTACAGTGCAAAAAAAGCAAGACTTTTTCCTGAGCATTTAGGAAGTTACCTTTTTTCCTTTTTAAATCAATTATTGTGATCCATTTAAAATACGCTCCCCTTACACCTAGGCTTGTCAAAACTTTTTAATTAAAACAGGCAGCAGTTTGTAGATATCAGAAGTCCAATCGGGAATAAAGCTATTTAATGACACCGCTAAAATTTTGCTCCAATTTTTCAAGTCTAAGGTTACTACAGGATTTTGACTTATACCAAGAAGTCCAGAAACGAGTTTTCCATTGACTAAACATTCCAAAATGTACAAAACATGCCTTCCAAAACAGACAAACAAGTCTCTATTTGAGCAAATTATAATACATATTTTGACTTACTATTCTTTAGTTAACATAATGCCCGGTGAGCTTTGCGTCCTACAAATATCAGGAAAGAAAACTTTCAGGAATGTATAGGGGCCTTTTGTAAGGAAGGATGAATCTCTTACATGATCATCTTTATCTCAACAGCTACAGACCATGAGTTTCTAATTCAATCTTCTCCTCTGTTTGCAAGATATCAGGATCTACTGGAGGAACAGGTGGTCTTAGGATAATCTCTGGACCTCCCCCATAGATTGACTGAAGAAAATTCCATGTTTCTTCAGATATCTGTCCAGAATCTGCACCTGAAAACATTTTTAAAGTTTTAATTACTATTTTTTTTTTTAAAGTCCATAACAGAAATAAAAAGAACAAAACACTCAGATAAATTTAATACTCTAATCTGGATTTTTTTTGCTTCATTTTATACTAGCTACCAAACCTGATGACGTGTGTCAGCTTTATACTTCTTGACTCTAGAGCTACCTGCTCTCAGAACTATACAATACTTAGCAGAGTTCAATCATAAAATGCACACGTTAAAATGTTAACTGCCCCACTAACGCTCTTCACATGAGACACTTTTAGTAACCCTTCATAGGGGCAGGGGAGCCCCAGCACATCACCATTAATTGGTTTTGACACAAGAATTCTGTCTAACAGAGTTGAATCCAGGATTTCTTAGTCTAGGCATAGAGGGCAGTTTTCTGCTCTGTCTGAATAAGACTCCCATCTTAAGCAACTGATTAAAAATCAGCTCCCAAGAAGCTTCTCCCAATATCCTTTTATTAGAAATATTACTCTTAATCTGTCCCATTAAGTTTAATTACAGTATGCTCTATTTCAAAACAAAACAAAGCTAAATCAAGGGGACTCCTCCATATACACTCATAACGTTTTAGCCTTGCCACCTGTGCTACTACCCTACTTTACAAATAAAGCATTTCCAAGGAGGAAAGGTACAAAGAATTGTACATTTGATTACCCACGTTGACTCAACCAGGCAAAGCTTCATCTGGAAGCCAGGATGCACTCTACCAGAAACAAGAGCTATGCCTCAGTAAACAAATGTTTAGGTTCGGCACTGTACATAAATGCATCTGACTCCATTCCTGCAGGCAAAGGAGTAGATCTTCCTCCCCTCACACAGCTCCCAGCTCTCCTAATAGTCACATTTAGCTGAACAAGCATAGTGAACTAACACACTGGGATCAGGACCACTGGATCACAGATATGTGATACTATGCACTACTTAGTGTGCTCTAACCTCTTCACTCAGGAAGAGAGAAAATTTTCTACAACCTTTTACACTTAATTTCTACTTATGTTCTATTTGAATCAGAAAATTCAAAACCTGCCATTTTTGTTTACTGTTACTGATCATAAACTGAACGTTTCTGCTGCTATACTTTAGTCAGAGGCTTCATAGTATATTTAAAACCTATGTTACAGATCAAGAGTTTTAAATCCAGGGGCACATTGATGGGAGCAAGAATTCATTCTTTCAAACTCCCTGGTAGATCCGCTGTATGCTGAGGCATTAACTGTGCAAAAATCCTATTAAAAAATAGAAATTAATTTTAACACTGCATTTTTTTCCTCGAAGTTGAGCTACAGTGAAATGTAATATTCGTATGTTTTCCCTGGAAATCTAAAGTCTTCATAGAACAAGCCATCTTAGAAAATTTATCTCTCTACAAACAAAAGTCAAATAGATATTAAGAATCTATGAAGAATAACAAATGTTTGTATGCTAGAAGAGTTTTTCTGCAGTATACAATAGTAAATAACTTGCTGAAAAATGAGCAACAGCATTTGCTCACTGTAGTTTGTTTACCTCTCAACTCAAGTTAGATTTCAGAATCAATATAATTAGATAGAGAACCAAGCCTAAATGCCAAGATTATTCTGCACTGCTTTCTACATTCTTATGTGCACTTAGTGTCTATTGTAGATTAACCTAATTCATAATTTTTATAAGCTGACCGCCCAAAAATGGGCCTTGTAACAAATACCACTTCCCTAGCTTTAGCAAATACATAATTTGGAGTCCAGAGGCACTTACCTTGCTTTAGCACAACATTTCCACCTTTTGTGACTGCAATCTTGGCATTGTCAATAGGACCAGGAGGCTCTACAGTGACAGGAAGATTGATTAAAATGAGGGAGTGAAAGCAAACAACAGTCTTCACATTTGGTTTTTCAATGAAAGGAGAAATAGCTGTTTGCTTCCTGCTTGTTCTTGCACTGCTCAGCAATATATTCCAAGTTGTTAAAAACTAATCAGAGTTTTAATTAAAAGCACTTTTTTTTTTTCTCCACGCATTCATGATTACAGAAAGCCTTCAAGCAATATAAAACACAAATTAATCCTAATTCTCACCTCCAGCCACACTGTCCCAGAGCAGACTCAAATAAGATCATAGGACATTTTGTCAGTGTTTCCATTTCAAAGCTTTAGGTGCACCTAAAGGCAGCTGATAGTGACACGATTACAGTTGTCCACGAGCTTCAAATTACATCAGGGAGGTTCCCTTTCATCCAAAGGCTACAGCATTACCAGTCTGTTTGCCCTGCATAATGCACAGCACACTTCCTCATACCTGAACCCCATTCTTTTGCTGCTGCTAAAAGATCACCCCGATCTCTCCAGATGTTGGTGTTTAAGTTTACTACCATTTTGGAAGGATTCAGGACAATAAGCTCTGTATAAACTTGAAAACAGCCCTGCCCACTTAAGTAACATACTTTCACAAGCTTCTCATCATCCATTCCACTAAATTATCCAATTTTGACTATAGTTTAATTTTATTATTGAATTTCTAAGCATATTTCCTACATATAAAAACTGTCTGTGTTTTTTTTTGTTGTTGCTGTTTGTTTTTTAAGTAAACTTTCTGTTTGTTTATGAAGAGCTTTAGTTGCTTCATCTTACTATTCTTCCCGCATCCTACCGCTAAAATAGAAGCAATTTAAACAATACTATTTGACCACAAGAATGAAAAGGTTATGCATATCTTGACAGGAGCCACAACTCACCACTGTCTTTGCCCTTTACAAATCCTTCCCATTCTCTGAACCATGGCAAGCTGATGCAATAAAAAGTTGATGGAGATTCTTCTTCTTGGAATGCTCTATTAAGCTGCAAGGAGGAGGAAGAAAAAAGGCAGAAAAACAGTAATTCTAAAAAAGTTGCTAAATATTTTGAACTACTCACTAAATATTAACATAACACACTGCTCCTCCCCCAAAACAAAGCAACAAAAAAAGGGAACACCAGACTCCAGACTATCAGTACTATAAACACTTGGTAAATTCCCAAAGAAAGACTTGAGGTACTAGTGGCCTTCCGATTTTATTTTTTTTTCTTGAAAAGTTAATTTCTTTCCTCCCAGAACAGCTTGGCTTGGAACCAAAATCATCAAGTTGTTCTTTTAAACATAAGTGCTCATTCATCACATACTACTGCATTACTGTGAATGCCCCGCTTTTCAGTGTAAACATAAAAATATTATCAATAGTAAGCTTATTTTTATGAAATTATAAAATAAATTATTAGATAAAATAAACCAGTGTTTTGAAGACTTGCTTCACTGTTAGATGGCAAGCTCTTTGTATGATGAGCTACATTATCTATGGTTTTCCTAATAATTTAGTCAGAAGCAAGTACAATTCCAACCAAGACTGATTTTATGACTTCCTTCAATTTTAAAAATAGAGTATGTTTCTATTTCTTTAATCTCTTCTTAATAGAGATTCATACCCTGTTGCTTGACTTTCTCCTGCAAGACAAGTGATTTTGCACAGATCACAAAAAGCAACTAGATAGGGAGGTCCAGCTGTATCTAGCTAAACTTGTTTTGTTTTAACCTCCAATGACAGAAACATCCCCTTCACCTCCCCTCAAAAAAAACCTTATTTCTATAAATATCTTCCAGCAAGATCTTTAATTAAGATTTGGGCAATTCAACATTCTATTTTTGTTCAAAGACTGCAAGACAATGAAGTAGCACTTGCTGCACAAATACACAGTGAGCTTAATTTTATGGATCCATTACATCACTAACACACTCAATTCACACTGAACTATTCTGTTTTTTTTGTTGTTGTTGTTTTTGTTTGTTTGTTTGTTTTTTGTTTTGGTCATCAACAGGTACAAAATTAAAACTACAGCTAAAGACTATGATTAGCTCGTGAGATACTCCCTTGAGTTACACTTCCCTAAGAACATTTATCTAGGATATCACAAGGACTCTGTTGATCCTAGCAGGAAAAAGTGATTCTGGGTAGGTATAAAAATAATAAAGTCTATTTGTTAAATTAATCACCTACGCATATGGTAACCCATAACCTGGGTTACAAATATTAGATGATATCAGAAAAAATGGAATGAGAATTGTTTACTTTTTTACCCGAATAAACATTTCCAATTCATTTTTCCTCCTCTTTTCAATTCTTTCAGACTCCATTTGACAAGTATGACAAACATACAGATGATTAACAGCTGGTCCCCCTCCAAACCTGCAGTAAAAGAGAAACATACCCCCCAACACATTACCCTGTGGAAAGCAACATGCAAAGAGAATCAAGCACCTGTTGGACAGAAGCAAGTGTCAGCTTCCTACAGCATGTAACTGAAGTATGATACATTCCAGTGCTGATCACGCTGACCCAAGGAGGCCATCATTATTTCCTTAGTAATATTTTGTACTTGATCCTACAACAAAATTTTCCAAGTTCTGACTGCCTAAAGCCAGTACAAACCATCTCTAAAATTCTGCTATAGTCACATGCTTCGAAAAGAGTTACTGCTGGAAAAACATGTTGGTGATTGCTCGCTCCAAACAGGCACTCATATACGCCAAGTGGGTTTTATCAAAAGCCTCTGACGAACAGCTTAGGGAATCACTTCAGCCAGTTCTCAGACTGATTTCATGAATCCATCCACCCCTCCTATACACCAATTGTACCTTTGAAGATCACATTATCATTTTAGATTACAGTGATCAGTCCATAAGTTTTTGACAGAAATATGAAATGACCTTTTAAGCAAATTTGACTCTAGAGCTATTAGAATTGAATCAAACATTTCCAAGCAAGAAGCAAAATAGTCTGAACTTGGATAGATTAGCAACCTATATATTATCAGTTTTTCCATAGTACTACCTCAGTAAAAGCCAACTTCTGCCATTGAGGCAGAAGTGCCTTGTTTCTCTCAATACTTTGCTTTGCTACCCTAAACGCTCACCCACCACAGCCATGGAATACCATGATTCCCAGCTATCAGCAAGATTAAAAGCAAGGTATGGTTGCTTCAGAGCTACTCTGTGTTGATACACACATGGCACATGTGCCAGTTAGGAGGCCACACAGAAGAGACAAGCATTTAATAATTGTATCCCTCTACCAGAGGGCTCCAAAACCATGGGGTTCCTACCATCTCGAGGATTCTATTTACCAAATATGACCATAGTTTGATATCTTACTCAAAAATTTATGGAGAAAAAAGAATGAAAAACTTAAAAACATTTTCCTTAAAATCTAACAGTGTTTGTGGTACACACATAGGGGATAATGCAGTTCATTTAATGGATAGATATTTATAATAATATATATTAATGTTAATATTCAATAACACTAAATATATAACATGTATTATGTATGGTATTCAAATAATTATTTGGAAGAAAAGTTCAGTATATGCAGGAATGTGGAAATAAATAGAAAATAGCACCATTTTTTTTTCTTGTG